CCTCAAATTGCGAGTCGAGTGCCTTAACCACCTGGCCATATGAGGATAAGAACATGGTGGAAGATTTTGCCAGTTTTTTTTGCTGTTTTAATTTATTTGATATGACATTCTTTATAATTTCATTAAGAATAGCAAAATATGAAATACATTTAATTGTTAAGTTTGTTTTCTTTGTAGTTAACCAAAAAAGCTACATCATGAGCTAGGTGTGATCTTTAGTGTTATAAGTCCGTAGACTTACCGCTGAACCACCGGGGGCATCTATTTAATTACAAAAAGAGGAACAGAAAAAATAAAATAGAAAAATCAAGAGTATAATGCTTTTGGTTCTGATGAAGAGGTTTACACAGCACAAATAAAAATTCACTGGACAGTGGGGAAGTTTCTAGCAACTTAAAGGGTGTGGTGCCATAATGTTATTAGTATCAACATCTCTTATTGTCTAATGTATAATATATCGTTATTCAGATATAATTTTTCTACATTTTCATGTATATTCTGCATGTAATTAGCATCTTTACGATAAAACATTTGTACAAAAGTTATAAACACGCACGAATTATCTTGCTAAGGTATAAGTTATACATTATAACAGCTAATCAATGGAAGTTTGTACCAGCTTGACCCTGTGCTTGCTCCATGAGTTGGTGTAATTCTCTTTCAAGGGATGACGTAGATATTTATACAATTTGAGTTATGGATTCTACTTCCTGTGTATTTTCATTGGGAATGCTCTTTGAATTATGTAATCTGTGTATCGTGGGACACTGCATTAAGGCTTTGGTCCGACATAAAGGTGAATATCTTCGTGATTATCTTTCTTTAGCCCCAGTGCTTGCTTTGATCTTGTCTTCATTTTGTATAGATGTATGAAGCATTCCACTCCAACAGACATTAGAAGTTATATATTAAATTAGAAGTCAAGTGAAAAGCTTCCACTATTCTATTTGTAGGAATAAAAACTTTGTTCACTCGTATATTTGTATTCCTTTTGCTATCCGTGTTTGAAATGTTCTTTTTTAAAATAACATTTCTGGTAACTGCATTTTGGAGATCTTGAACTTATCTGCCGGACACCAGTGTATCTAAATAACACACTACAGATCTATAGAAATTGTTTGTGATAAAAATAATGTTAACTGCAGGTTGTTTCACACCTACCTCATAATTCAGGGGTCGGCAACCCAAATAACAAGAATGGCCTTTTGTTTTAATTCGGTAAAAACGCAAGATACTGAGAGTCGCAATGCATGTAACCCCTACTTCAATAATCGGACATCGACATGATTAAAGAGCCGCAGGTCACCGACCTATGACTTAATTTGTCAATTTCGTATTCAAAATCAGAGGCATGATAAAAATAGCATTTCAGACCTTTTTTTTATCTCCCAGAAGTAACTGATAAGTTTTGACATTAAAAGAGACGTTCTTTGACAATTACATGTTAATTTTGAGTTTGTAATGGGAAAATTAATAGAAACATAAAAAAAAAAACATTTGCAATTAACGTGATTTAGATCATAAATTCTAGACCTATTGGTTTCTAATTCTTCGCCAGCTTTCGGCACTTAAACCATAATTTATAGAAAGGATCGTTTCCCAGTTTAATGAATACCCATAAAATGAAAAGCACGTTTTATTATTAAGAAGTGCAATCACGTAAACAAAATACATAAACTCTAAAGATAATTTCTTGTGTGAGGACAATGTTGCTGGAAAGAGGAGGGAATGAATGCTGAAGAAAGCAAGGCGTTTTCCGCTGATTGTTCGAGTGCAATGGAGTAATTGATACTTTGAACTTGAACAGCACCTTTAGCGCCACGTGGACTAAACAACCAGGGCAAACACCCTTAAGTTTTAGGCCACAGGCCAACCCGCGTTTAGAACTCCTGATCAGAGTAACGTCAACCAATCTTCAGTCTGTAGCCAACACGGCTATTTTAAACCAAACCGCGGGACTGAATGCTACATTTATAAAACCTTCACATCAGAAAGCGTCGAATGTTCTGCAGCATATCACAGTTCGAACTTTTCGACCCACAATGATAACGATTTAGGAGAAAATTAAGTTTATCATGGTGTTTTCATAAAACTGGTTAAATTCCATTTGGGGATACTTTGTTCAACATTCATTATCATTATTGGAAGAACGATAAAACGTCTGCCATATTGTTTACATGAAAAAATATAACCAACGAGTAAGCTGCTAGGAAGAGAAGCTTGACTTGTACACCTGCACTTGTTTACATTAAGAATAGGCTTAGATGTTTAGATTATGGTGTTTAAGAATACTACAGTTTACCTCACAGATCAACTGTGAAGTGTCTGATTTCTAGGCTAATAGAATTAATAAAAGTAACTTAAATATTTAAAACAACATACGTAAGGTTTGGAGATCTAAACCCAAACTTGTTTCAAGTATAAACAAACATTTCTAAAATGGTAACTCGATTAATAATTTGCCTAACAATGCTGATTCCTCCGTCTCTTTCCCTTTTCTTTATTGGTTGCATCAATGGACGCAAAATATTACTTTATATCACGTGATTGTATTGAATGAATACTTTGGAATTATTCCAACAGTTCTGATGGTTGACAAACAATCTATATTCATAATTGACAAGTGTTCGCATATTCTTCTTAAACTTGCAATGCAAGTAAATTGTGAAATACGTTTGTCTTGTTGGTGACTCTTAATATTTATTTTGTCGCTGTTTAGAGTTTCTAATATATATGTTAAGAGTTAGATGATCTAAAAAGGGGGGAGAGTAATAGTAACACCAGTAAGAGTGGCTGAAATTTCAAAATTTGATGAAGGGGCAAGACCCATCGAAAATCTGACAGACTGAAACTGCGAGATATTGTATATCTATGAAGGTTAACTTTTATGGACCCACATCAGTTGATTTATTTTATATTATCTATTTGATGCTGGTTAAAGGTTGTTACTGTAAATATTCCAAAACGTACATGTACGTGGTCTGGGCAGCTGGACAACATACATTTTGGTTTAGTTTCTTTTCTTATTTTAATTTCGCGCAAAGCTACACGAGGACTATCTGCTCTAGCAGTTCCTAATTCAGCAATGAAAGACTAGGGGAAGGCAGCTAGTCACCACCACCAACTCTGGGGCTACTCTTTTTTTCCAACGAATAGTAGGATTGATCGTCACATTACAACGTACCCACGGCTGAAATGTCGAGTATATTTGGTGGGACTGGGATTCAAACCCGCAGATTGCGAGTCGAGCTCCCCAACGACCTGGCCATACCAGGCCTACATTTTGGGTTCATGATAAAACGTAAAATCGTGTATTAATGTTTAATGGCGAGGGTCCATATAATTTCCAACAAATTAAAGTGTGGGGCAATTGCCCCAAGAACCTTCCAAATATTAGCCACTGACCAGTAAAAAAAATCATATTTGGAAAAAAGCAAAACTGTTACTTTTAAAGATGGGAAAAGAATTCCGTTTTTAGCGCAAAGCTACACAATAGGTTATGTGAAGGGGAATCTAGATCCAGATTTTAGCACTGTAAGTCCTTAAACTTACCATTGGGGTACGGAAAAAATAACACAAAGCCGCCAATAAGGCTGTCGTTATTCTTGCTAAGCCCTATATATATATATACTTAAAAATTTTAAATCTAGCAAGAAATACGAGCGTTATTGCATCTTTAACAATAAGTGGCGTCATTATGTTATGTCCCTAAAGAGGGTAGCCAACAGGGCCATAACGCGTTGATCCAACGTACGTGTAGTCAGACATCGACAATATCTTATGTCCTGTTGGTTATCATCCACGGGATTGTAACACATTGATTCAACATATAGCCGAACATCGACAATACCTTATGCTCTGTTGGCTACATCTAGAGAGTCATAATGCATTGATCAAACGTAGTCGAACATTGACAATAAGTTAAGACCCTGTTTGCTTTATCTACAGGATCATAACGCATCAACCCAATGTTGCCAAACGTTGACAATACGTTACGGACCTATAGGTGGCTTTATAAGTACAAGCAGCTTTAGTTTTGCTCAGCCAATACTATGAAATAGTCATTGTTAATATTCACATTTTAAAAGGTGATTTTAAACAGGCAATTTTTATGGCCGCCATTTTGTTTCATCACGATCCCTACTATTAGTACTACCGTACTTACTGATTAACTATTTATGTGTTTTCATTCTTTGCTATCAGAAAGCAAGTATTCATTATGTAGTATATACCAAAGATTTTTTTATTTTTTGGTTAGCATTTTTGTTCATGACTGTAACAGACACAAATCAAGACCTCAGCTTTAAAATAACAACAATAAATTCGAATAAATCTGAAATGTTTACCAATTATTTTTAAGCATAGTGAAAAAAACATAAGCATTTCACGAAACCTACATATATTTATTGAAAAAAATCTTGTAGAAACAGAATATGGTCTTGAAATACACGCATAATGCATACCAAAGCAATAGTAATAGTTTTAACAAACTCATTGATCTTTACAATTTCAACGTACATCTTCTTACATTTAATCTTACGTAAAAGTTTAAAAAGTCTAATTAAACTTGAACTGTACAGGGAGATTTACTTGCAAGATACTCGTGTTTATTATACACGTGGAATAACACTAAACATGAAATTGACCAACAAACCACGTAACTGGGGTTACATGAACAAGTCTTACACAGCACAAAACTTCAAACTATTGACACATTTATGTCAACAATACGAAACTCTATAACCAGAGCACTTTCAAAAAATAGACATTTCTTCCTCCCCGTCAACTCTTGAAGGTGCTAGGGTTAAATGGTTTCTAATTCCTACGTCTACTTAACATCACGAATGAAACATTAAGGTCACAAAGCTTTAATGTCTAATGTAGCTTGTCGTTTAATTAAATTGTTAGTTTTCAAATAACTACCATTTTTGTATCGCATATTAAATAATTCTGTCCGAGAATACTTTTTAAAAAGCAAAATTAATGCTCGTATTAAACAATTAAAGCAATATATAGTTTGGTTTTAAAAGCTCTATAATTTGTTTTACATTTAATTCTTATTTATGTGTAAATAATGGCTTTATAAAATGAATACTTTTTCATCTATGATCAAATCACTCGTAACCCTTTTTTTTTGGGTGGGGAAGGAGGAGAAAAGTTTTTAGTGCATCAGAATAGAATCTTCAAGTGATTTAACTTGATGCCAAGCTTCTACTGGGAGAGATACCACACATGCAACCAATTGCACATTTTCCCCCCATCCCAGTACTGTGATAAGACACCATCCAAACAAGCCACTGCTAAAAAGACTGAAATAAGTTTTAAAAATAAGAGTAGAATAAGAAACATTACAGTAATTAACGACCTGACTTGGATCGGATTTAAACATGTTTCTATCAGTAGTAAAAATATGTATGATATCGGTCTTGGCATACCTTCTTTGACTTTAAATAGTTTGGTTAATACTTATTTAAACGAAACTTTGCAATTAATGACAAATGATCTGATCCTTGATAAGCGTTAGGAAGGCCAATACAGTTCATTTGAGCTTCTGAGAGTAAGTTACACCAGCCTAATAACTGAAGTGGTCCCTCTTTTAAATGATTCTTACTTTTGTACTTCACGGAATAAAAAATATAATCTACCGTGCAGTTAGCTTTTGAATGTTGTGTTGTGACTTCAGGCTCTCCAAATGGAGTTTTGTGTGTATAAACAGAAACAAGATTTAAACGATGGCGAATTAATCCACTTGTTTCATTTTTCTCACGTGTTTTGGATTTTTCAGGTTGTTGTAGCATTTCTGGGTGTTTGTTTTTTTCACCTTGGTCAGTTACAAAATTTGACTCTCTTTCTACAGAACTAGTACGTAAGACATCAGATTGTAAATTTGCCATCATCTCATAAGAAGTTGATTGGTCTATTATCTCAACGTCTTTACCTTGTTGACGACAATTGTTATAGCCTTCCTTAACTGGAGAACTACCTTCATCAGTCCAACAATCTCTACTTCCTGATGGTGTGAATGTCTGTAGAGAGCTCTCTCCACCACTGCCTTGATCTTCAACCAGTTTTTCATCTGTTTTTATGCTGGCTTGATCTGTAGAGATAAGTTTTTTTCTATCTTCTCCCGATAAAGCTTCCATTCTTTCAGCCAATTTTATTTTCATCCGTTCTTTATGAATATTAAGGTACTGAGATTTTTCAGATATCCCCAGCAGAGGATGAACGAGTTCAGTTGGAAAAATAGGTCTCCCCCTGTGACTTCCTTCTGGTTGCCCTGAAACATCTCCAGATAAAATTCCATCATACCTTAGCCTCCCTTGGACAAGGAAGTTGTATAACGGCGAGAAAGGCTTACTGTTCATATCGCCGCACAGTATTATTGGATGATAAATTGGCTGTTGGGATTTTTGGGTGAATCCACGAAATGCAAATTTATCAACTTCTGCAAGTAAGAGCCTTAACTGCCCAAGTTTGATATCTCCTCTTCGAGGATTAAACAGCAGATGAGTCGTGGCTACAACGAGCTTCATGTCATTTTGAGTGTGCGTTACTTGTGGTCGAAGGATGGCAATCAGTCCAATATTATCCCGATCAAGACTTCTGACATTTTCCCTATAAAATTCTACTGTCTCATAAGACTCGAGAGAGAAGAGTTTCTTCTGGAAGAAAATTGCACAACCATCATTCTTAGACCCAGTCCTCTTTTTGTACAATCCTTTGTAACCTGAAACATCAGAAATATTACAGAACTGAGGAAACAATGCCTTTTACTTTTCATAAGTAAGAAAACTATATTATATATATATACTCATTACCAGGTTTTGGTCAAAGTAGGTAGCTTGTTTTTTTTTCACAAATTAATAATAATTATATAAGTAAATGTATAAAATAATTATGGAACAATTAAAAAATATGTTATTATCCCAATATATTTTCATATGTATATGAAAAGGTTTATAACATTATTTATAGATGAAATACTTCCATTCATTTTCTGTTTACTTAAAACATAAAAATATTTTAAGAATTCAGTTGAAAGAAGTCTTCTCAAGAAAAATATGTCTAAAAGTATACTGTCAGGATATAAAATTGAACAAGAATATTCCTCCCAACTCCACAATAGATACAAACAAAGCTAAAAGGAACATGTGAGATTTGGGGGAGGTAATAATACGTATATATAGATACACCAGTAAAATGCTAAATATTTACAAGTTAAAAAAAAAGAGGCACAAGTTCAAGATAGAATTTTTATTTCACCCTATTATTCAAATGGTACGGCCAGGTGTTACTAATGTGAACAGTCTGATAGAAAGCTATGTTAATCTATGATTTTGTTTTGAATTTTGTGCAAAGCTACATGAGGGCTATCTGCTCTAGCTGTTCCTAATTTAGCAGTGTAAAACTAAAGGGAAGGCATCACTACCCACTGCCAACTCTTGGGTTACTCTTTCACTAACGTATAGTGGGATTGACTGTCACATTATAACACCCCCATGGCTGAAAGGGTGAGCATGTTTGGTGGAACGTGGATTTGAACCCGCGACCCTCGGATTGCGAGTCGAGCTTCCTAACCACCTGGCCATGCCGGGCCTCTATGATTCGACCCTCGGATTGCGAGTCGAGCTTCCCAACCACCTGGCCATGCCGGGCCTCTATGATTCGACCCTCGGATTGCGAGTCAAGCTTCCTAACCACCTGGCCATGCCGGGCCTCTATGATTCGACCCTCGGATTGCGAGTCAAGCTTCCTAACCACCTGGCCATGCCGGGCCTCTATGATTTTAAAAACTTTAGTTGTTAGCTGAAATAAAAAATTTAATTTAGAACAAGTGCCCTTTTTTTAATTATCTTTGTTATGCAGTTGACTTTTGAAAACATATTTTATATACTACACACATACACATGTATATCAGGGATGTTTATGACAATAACAACAGACCTAATATTTCCAGTTCTGGCACAAAAAACCCTTCATAATGTGTCTGCTGAACCTCTTGAAGGCATAAAATCTAAGAAGAGAAAAATCTATATTTTATTTTGAGTTCAACGTCAGAATAGGTAGTACATGTACACAATAAATAATATAAAGGTTTCAGCTACATATAATGTAAGATCTTCGTACACAACAGATTACTCTCATACAGAAAAATAAACACAAGATTCAAGAAATCAAATACTTTCTGGTGGTTTATGTTTCAATATTAAATTGAGAGTTTGGGTAATTAAGCAATGGAAAAATTAGTAAGATTAGCATGAAATATATTTCACCTTTTCTACTCGAGAGTCTACTTAACGTACAACCGTACAATGTGCAATTCATCATTTTACAAGAAAAGGAAAAAGTTTTTTATCTCCTAAGTTTTTTAGTCTCCCAAAATTACTTTAAATATTCTTATCTCAGATTCGTTTAAAGATTCTTTCTTGAGTTTCAATTTTACAAAAATTTCTGTGCGAGTTCTCTCTTTTCTTTTAGGTGACTAGTTACATAAATGGATAAAAATTGTGTATTATGTAACAATTTGATAATTTTTTTGTGATGACAATTAGAGATATCTAAATATTTATAAATTTCTAAGAGAACTGATGACGAGTCTCAAAAACTAGATTTGACACACAAATCTTTACAATTTTGAAGCCTACACTTTTTCAACTGTTACTGAACTTTGAACTATGAAATTCTGTATTAATTTTTTAACTAGTAAGTTCTATGTGAAACTATCCCCATCACAGATGAATTATCTTGAGTTTCAAAATCCGTGGGGACATTTTAAGGTATTTTATTAAATGACGGTAAAGCATATTAAAATTTGTTTATTTAAATTTCAAACTCTAATCACAATTATTTACTTCTAAGAAACAATCTTGAGTTGAACAGAAAAATATAAGACACAAGCTGAGATTTACAATACCAACAATTATGTGGATAAAGACAAAGCTGTGTTCATCCTTAAAATTAACTCCTTAATTAAAAAAGAAAGAAAAAAGCAATAATAATAACAACTATTGTTTTTGTATGCTAACATGAACAATTTTCATTCACATTGAAAAGAGTTAATACATTCAGTATAAGGTAGAAATATACTTACATCATACACAGATTATATGTGTATGTTTTTTTTTATTAAATGTTTGGCCAACTAAATAAAAATAATCATGGCTGTAAGGATGTCAAGCTCAAAACTTGTGTCTCAAGATACCCACCGAGGCATTTGATTCTTTTATTTCTTGTATTAAGTTCTGGCTACGAACTTCCCATTTCAAGATGTGCTCGTTACAGTGTCTGTACAAGGTCAAATTGTCATACAGAAGCTGCTGAGCCAAGACATTGTAGGACATCACGCTAAACTCCAAACCAGTGTTGTCACATCCTTCTTTTGGTTTGGTGTACTGCCAAGTACGATGCCTTAAAACATAATTTTTTATAGCTGTAAAAGGATATGGACAAATTAGTTTATTGAAAACATAAATAAAGATGTGTACTTTAAGTACTCAACTTATGTGCAACACTTTTATGGGATAAAGCCATCACAGCTGACTCTTAAGTATTAACTCTTATGTAGTAAGTTGCATGTGAAATCTGGTAGGCATAATAAAGTCATAATACAAATAAAGATAAACATATGTAATATTTAGGTCTCATCAAAACATTCCTGACTGAACAAAAAAGTATGATTTAATAAGACACACACATATATGTATGTATGTATGTACACCTTAATACATTCTACACGATAATGGTTCTTTCACTTCAAATAAATAATTGTTTCGATGAGACACAAAGAAGGATTATTGATTTGTTTACTACTTCTAATATCCATGGTTAGATACTGGAGGAAATAGTGTTTAAAGGTGTTATACTTTAGCCCAGAGTTTTACTTTCATCAAATCTGTCAAATGAGTTTTAGCTTTCCACACTGCACAAAAGAAAGGATAATTATGATAACGTTCAATCGAGTTATGAGAAGGAAAAAGCCACTGTTATAAAGTCAATCCTTGTCATTAGTTAATTTTTATGCAAATCAGGCACCTGATGATACATCGTGAGATCATTGATCATTTGGTCTCTGCTCATGAGTTATCATTTCCTAAAAGTGGCTTTGTATCTTAATGTTCTATGATATTTCACTTCAATATGAAGCACTGACAACCCAGTACAAACGTTATATACCAGTGTTGATAAGGTCCTGACCACTCCTCTCAAACAGTTGCTTGCAGAGCATTTTTACTATCTGGAGTCATTTAGAGACTTGTGCCACATTTTGCAAGTGCATCCAAAAAATGCTGGATATGATTGAAGTCCAGTAATCATGCAGGACATTTCAGTTGGATATGATTGAAGTCCAGTAATCATGCAGGACATTTCAGCTGGATATGATTGAAGTCCGGTAATAATGCAGGACATTTCAGCAGGATATGATTGAAGTCCAGTAATCATGCAGGACATTTCAGCTGGATATGATTGAAGTCCAGTAATCATGCAGGACATTTCAGTTGGATGTGACTGAAGTCCAGTAATCATGCAAGACAATTTAGTTGGATATGATTGAAGTCCAGTAATCACGCAGGACATTTCAGTTGGATATGATTGAAGTCTAGTAATCACGCAGGACATTTCAGTTGGATATGATTGAAGTCTAGTAATCACGCAGGACATTTCAGTTGGATATGATTGAAGTCTAGTAATCACGCAGGACATTTCAGTTGGCCAATTCCCTTTCCTTCAAGCAATATGTCAGTTAGTTTACAACATTGAAAATGGGTATTGTAATCCATTATATTGGAGCCAGGAGCAAATATACCAGCATATGACAGCATGATAGGTTGTAGAACATTGTTCCTATGATACGTGAAGCTAACGGCACCAATCCACAGAGTAACATAACCAACCCTCAGGCACCTGCTCACTGTCTATTCATCTATCAAAAAATGAAAGAGAGAGGCTCATACATCTGATCTTTTACTTCTTTTAAAGCTCAGGGGAAAACCTCATCTGGCTCTTGTGTTTTATATGTATTTTTAATCTCTACCTTTCTGCTTGCCATCAAAGGTTTATTATCTAAATGATTCAGGTTAATTATAGTATTTTCCAGAGAATCCTCAGTCAAAAATATTAGAAAAATAAGAAGGATGGTTTATTTAGGTATTAAAATGTTGTTGTCACTATTACTTAGTAGCTGCTAAGTTCTACATAAAATATTTAGAATTCACAATCAGTTAATCACATTTGATGGTTTGTTACATGCTGAGATATTAAAAAAATTAACTTTTAGTTCTTAACTTAAAAAAAAATTGGGGCTATGAGGCAAGATTTATCAATAGTGAATTGTAAGATGATGTAGGTTAGATATGGGAGATTTTTAAAAATAAGTTGCTTTTAATTCAAAATAGACATATTAATCAACAGATGAAAAGGATAAGGGAGAAGATTAAACCTAACTGGCTTAGAAAAAGATATACATAAGAAAATCAAAAATAAATTCCATAAGTTTAAGGAGTTTAAATTGGCTAATAAATTTACAAGGGTTTGTTTAAAAATGAAATTAGGAACTCCAAAAGGCTTATGAATAACAGCTAACTGAAAATTTTAAAATATGAATCAAGTCTCTTCTGCTTTGCAAGATAGGTTGTTAGCATCATTCCCAACCTTGAGCATTCTATGGAAAATATTAGAATTGATCTGAATCAAGTAGATATCAATCCCTTGATGACTGAAGAAAAAGACCATGGCTTAATGGTGAATAAATCATTCAAACTACTGAAGCTCTACTCTGTAGCTAGTAGCAAAGCAAACAGAATTTTAGTCTTTTTATAAACATACTGATATAATTATTTCTTTATACAAATTATTAATTAGGCTTAATTTGGAATACTGTATACAGTTTTTGGTCTCCTTGTCTAAGAAAGGATATTGACTTATTGGAAAGTGTTCAGAAGTGTGATCCTAATTACCTATATGAAACTCAAAGTACGTGAAAGTTTTAAAGATACATTATTACAGGGCTCAACATCAACAGTTTTCCAATTACCAGAGATGTGAAAATTTGCTTCAAATAACTCAATTTACATATGTCTACTCTGACAAGTCTAAAATCAATAATCTAAAATTTATCATTATTAATAAAATGTTGAATAAATGAATCACAGAGCAAAATTTACAAAATATAAGCTCTGATTTGCCATTATTTTTCTTTGTTGGTGCATTTACTTCCTACAGTTTTATAGGAGACAGTACCACATTATTGCCAGTGTATAAGTATGCATTTTCATTGGTTGGAGGCATTTGAACCAATCAACATTTATGTTATTCATAACCTTTACTTCCTACAGTTTTATAGGAGACAGTACCACATTATTGCCAGTGTATAAGTATGCATTTTCATTGGTTGGAGGAATTTGAACCAATCAACATTTATGTTATTCATAACCTTTACTTCCTACAGTTTTATAGGAGACAGTA